GGTAAAATCGCTGCCCTCCTGCCTCAAATACAGGGCATGTTAATATTTGAGACCTTGTCTCAGGATCCCAACTATCAACTGCGGGGGTTGGGGGCCTCCCAGCATATGGAGGTGGCGCTGTTGGTTGGACACTTACGCCCTCTGGTGATAGAAAGGTGTTAGTAGCAGTCTCCTGTAGAGGTGGTGCTGTTGGTTGGACACTTACACCCTCTGGTGATAGAAAGGTGTTAGTAGCAGTCTCCTGTTGTAACTTTCCCCCTGATGGCTTTTTCTGTTTTACACTTTCTTTCTCTGTCTGACTAGCTTGAGAGGCCTTCTCTTTTACTTGAATCTTTTCCTCTGTCTGACTAACTTGAGAGACCTTCTCTTTTACTTGAATCATTATGTCTTCTCCTTCCTCTACCATTGTCTGAACTGAAGGCTTTGGACTAAGCAAACAAGATACGAATGTCCACAATGGCAATGTGCCAACTGGCAGAGTCCCTGGGCTTTTCTTTTCTATTCTTTTTAAATCTTCACCATGATGGTTCCATTGTGATATATTTAACAACTCCTCCTTAAAAAGCCATGGGCTACATTTTTGTATTGTATCAACGTATGCCCTGATTGTTCTTGATTTTACTGAGATGCCTCCTTCCTCTAACAATTTACTTAACACTCTTTCAGTTTGTTTTTTACTAATTTCTGATCCCGTATTTCTACTATAATACAACCCAACAAGATAACGCCTAACAAAACTGAAACTGAGTGAAACAAAATTGGAACAACACAAAATCATTATAATAGCCTCCTGAAATGTCCATCCGTCCTTTCTCCCTATCTGTTCCTCAGATGTGAGCGGTTTTTCTTCCATCTTACACATCTCCAGGGACAGGCAACTTAAAACAAAAGTGAAACAAAATAACAAAAGAAGAATCTTAAAATGGCTACCCATCCTCTCGCCCTGCCCTCAGGGGCGAGCAGTTCACTTACCCTCAGTCGCTCCCCGTGCGAGCCACCAAATGCCGCAGTCTGGCTGGGCACAATCAGGAGCCACTTGTCAAAAGAAACTAACTTTATTTTTAGAACCACACACGACAAACAAAATAGCCTCTCAGGAAAAACCCTCAGAGCCTCAACTGCCACCACCGGCTTTCCCCAAGCCTCTCTCTCCCACACAAGCTTCTCCCCACCTCCCACAATCCTCCTGCTCTTGAGGCCGATTGGCTGGGTCACGTGGGCGGAGCCAAAAAAGTCCCCCAATGAGCAGCTCCGTGGTCTGAAAGGGCAGGGAAACAGCCCAATGAGCATCACCGCAGAGGAGCCAATCAGCTAGATGTTGCTGGGGCCGAGGAGCCAATCAGCTAGATGTTGCTGGGGCCGCTGTGAGCCAATCATCAGCCAGCAGCTGGAAGTTTGCTGGCAGCTGGAAGTTTGCTGGGGCCCCTTTGGCTGTGGCTCTCAACAGCCTGGCATAAAGTCGATAAGATGAATGGGGTACCCTTCTACTTCTCTCCAAACCAGATGGCACATCTATGCTATTGTCTTCCTGCTCTTAATTGTAAGAGGTTGGTTACTGTTGCAGTATCAGAATGGTCAGAGAAGTCTTAGCAAACAAAATCTTTGTAGGCATCCAACCAGCATCCTCATACCATGTATCAAGGCCTTAGATTTTTTCTAGCTCTAGCTCTATCCTTGATTAAATAGCCAAATTTCTCTGAATTTCAGGTACTGACTAGAGAACTCTGCAATTGATATCATGTCCCCTTCACTATTCTAGCCACTTTACACTGAGCCAAGAATCCCGGATCCTCATATATACCCTGTGAGATTAATAATAATGCTTTTCTTTTACATAGAAAGTAATAGAAGCAGAGAAGTTCAGTGGTGTGCTCCAGGTCCTATAAACCAATCCAGAACTTTTGACTCCAAATCAAGAAGTTCTATGCATGAAATCAACATTATGTAATGACACTTTTTCTCAAAAATGTAAGTGACTTTGTATTTCTTCTGGAAAATATGCAAGTTCAGGGCTCAGGGGCATCCAGACTTAAATCTCAGAGGCTTCAATCCTCTTGCCTTTACTAATTCCCACCATTGCCCAAACTGTGCATTCTGTCCAGTTGAATTCTCCACCTGCCACCTGCTTTTACTCACACCTCCATGGACTCCTCCCTTCTTTCCTTGTTTACAACATTCATTCACCCTCTGATTTCACAAAACTCCTACTGGGAGAAGTCACATTGGAGTTGAGTCTCATGTGTACAAGGCCTTCAATCCCTGTGGACACATGGAGGGCTGGCGCTCCATGTGTGTTCTCTTGAGCTTTGTTCCCTGAGAGACCAGGTTCAAGTCTCTGTAGCTCTCATACAAAATATGAGAAGGTTTGTGGGAAGCATTCCAAATTCTCTCCAAAGGGATTCTCTGGGACACATGAATCTATGTCATAGGAAGTCAAAAATCAGTGCACTGAATCAATAAATTGCATGTATGAACAGGTGTCTTTTGATCAGTGGTGAGAGTGCTGTTAAAGTAGCAGGCAAATGACAGTCAGAGTCAATGGGTAAGACAGTGCAGTTTCTTTTTGTGTGCCTGTTAGTGGTTATTTTCATTGAGAGTTCTCAGTGAGGGCTGGTGATGCTGTTGAAGATATACTTCAGTGCTTAGGGCTCAGTAGGCAAAGCTGAAATGTTTGAAGCAGACTTATTGGTTTAATTATTCAGTTTCTTTTTTGTTTTTTTCCAACAGAAAAGTGCAGATCATAATTTCAATCATGAAGACGTTGCATAAACTAATGAGCAAATAAAAAGCGGGAGTAGCATTTGTGGTCATTTGTGACCACAGAATAGGTTTTTTGTTGTTGTTCTTTATTATTTAAGTATATGTCTTGTTTGTAATTGACACATAGTAATTTCATATATTCATGATATATTCTGTGCCATTCCAATGCATGCACACAATATTTAATGATCAGATAAACTCAATTGGCATTTCTATAACCTCAGATGTTTATCATTTCTTTGTGTGGGCACATTTAAAATCCTACTACATTTTTGAATTGTGCAATTAGCTGTTGTGAACCATAGTTATCTTACTCTATTTTTATACATATTTTATTCAAAAGATACTTTTAATTGGTATTACAAAGGTTTCCAATTTTTTAAAAAATGCTCTAAATTTTGGAAATGTTAAAATCTATCCACTTCAAATATTTGGAACTAAGTCTGCATTTTGCTTATTATTATTATTACTGCCATTAAAATGAGTTTTGATTATCTGGTCCTGCAGAGTATATTTTACTATTTTTTAAAGGCTTTTTGTTATTGAAAAAAACATATAAATTTTCATGATTTGCACAGGCATTTGATTTGAATATGTGACTAAGGTCCAACTCAGGAAAAAGCATTTGCCTTTTACTGTTGCTAATGCCCTACAGATCTGCACTTAGGATATCATTCATCTTCATCTCGCTGGGATCCTCTGTCCTGCTGGCTCTTTCAGCTACTTCCTGAATTCCATCTGGTTTTTCAGAACATCATAGAAGATACAGTAGGCTCTATTCTAGTTGTATTGTCATCAAGGACCTTTGCCATGAGCAAGGTGTCCTGCTCTGTGCCTTCCTCCTCCCACCTACTGCCCCTTCCACTCATGGCATCCTGTGACTGTGGTTGTCATCTCCATTTCCCCATCCACATGTAATCTTTCCCTCATTTAAATTGTCTAAATCCCCCATTATTACTTGCCAATTGGTTTTCAATTGTGCTGTGTACTGGTTTCACTTTGCTTTAACACTATTCTTTAGAGTCTAATTTTCCTAATATATTCCATTTATTTGTTTAAAATTATTGTTTTAAAATGTGTAATAAACTGGAGTTTGTTGTGGTCATTGTTTAGATATCAAAGAATCAAACAAAATCTTTGCCCCTGGGATTATACTGCTGTGGGAATGATTTGTATAAAAGTATATGTAATGTGACTTGGTAAAAATGGAAAAATACAGAGCATTGTATAAGGGGTAAAGATAGAGAGTTTTGGGACACTATTTTTTGTAGCTTACTGGTGAGGGTCACAGTTATTTTAGCTTGTGTGTTTGGGTTTCTGCTTATGATGCAGAGTACAGAAAATGGTAGGTCCATCAGAGCTTGTTGAATAATTAATGAGCCCATGAATCACTTGATGAGGAGATTGGGGTGAGAGAAGAGAGAGCGTGGGAGAGAGTGGAAATTTTGAAATTGCAACTCCAGATTGACCAAAAAGTGGGTTTGTTCTCAAATCATTATGGACACAAAGAAGAATCTTGAATCTTTGGGGCTAAAAATTTCATATCCCAGTATATCCCAAAAAGAATTGGCCAGAAATCAATAAGAAATTAATAAGCCTATAGCCAATTCACATAGTCTAGTGTTGTTTTCTGAGATAGATGCATTTGAATACAACCTTCCCTGAGCATTCTTGTGGAATGTTGTCACCTTTAAATGTCACACAAAGTTTATTGGTTTTGAATCTAATGAATATTTACATAAATTTACATAAAATTCACTATTACTGAATTATTATAAATATTGGGATTAGCTTTTTTCCATTTATCTACTTTATTATACTATATTTTCTATACTCTCCATTTTTATATATACATAAATTGAATAAAATGAAAAATACCTGTGGTAATAATATGTGATTAGAACCAGTGTTAGAAAATATATATATTTACTTTAGGGTATGTTTAGTTTAAAACTACATAGCGTATAAGTTGCAATAGAACTTGATAGCACTTTGCACTTTTAAGATCAAATTTCTAAATAAGAATTCTTCAGGTTTCCTTTTATATTAGACATAGTCATTAATGTTAGTATTTTGCCTTTCTCTAAATGTTTCAACCTCAGTTTTTTGGAAGATGTTTTCCTCATTTCATCCTCTGCTAGAATTTCTATACAGAATTCAGGCTGCTATTCTCAGCCTTTGGAGTGTGACTTTATTCTTTGATTATGTCTGCAGAAACAATATAGGGCTTCTGTACTGCAATGAAAAGACAAAATCAAAGCTCTGTGGTTGAATTCATCCTCTTGGGCTTCTCTGATTTTCCTGAACTTCAAGACGAGATCTTTGGGGTTTTCTTGGTTATTTATCTGGTGACCCTGATGGAAAATGCCATCATCATAGCTGCCATCTTGCTGGACCAGACCCTCCACATCCCCATGTACCTGTTCCTGCAGAACTTATCTGTGGTAGAAGTGAGTTTCAGTGCATCCATCATGCCTGAAATGCTGGTGGTCCTGACTATTGAGAAAACTACAATTTCTTTTGCGGGCTTTTTTGCACAGATGTATTTCATTCTTTTTGGTGTGAATGAATGTTTTCTCCTAGGCGCAATGGCTTATGACCGATTTGCTGCCATCTGCCATCCTCTGACCTACCCCATGATTATGAACAAGAGGGTGTTTTTGAAATTAGTAATGTTCTCATGGGTCTCAGGGATCATGGTGGCTACTCTGCAGACCTCATGGGTATTCAGTTTTCCCTTTTGTGGACCCAATGTAATTAATCATATATCTTGTGAAACCCCAGCAGTGCTGGAACTGGTATGTGCAGATATCTCCTTGTTTGAAATCTATGCTTTCACAGGCACCATTTTGATTATATTGCTTCCTTTCTTGTTGATACTCTTGTCTTATCTTAGAATTTTCTTTGCCATCCTGAAGATGCCGTCAACAACTGGGAGGCAAAAGGCCTTTTCCACCTGTGCCTCACATGTCACATCTGTCACCCTCTTCTATGGCACAGCCAGTATGACTTATTTACAGCCCAAATCCAGCTACTCACCAGTAACCAAGAAACTGATGTCTTTGGCTTACACATTGCTCACACCCCTGCAGAATCCCCTTATCTACAGCCTGCGAAACCATGAGATGAAAAGGGCTTTGGTGAAATTATGGCGGAAAGCGGTGGTTTTACACACAGTTTGACTTGTTAAGAAGCTATATATTTGCTTATTACTCAACAGAACTCTGTTTGAATTTAATAAATGATGAAAACAGATTCCATTTCTTGATATTAATGAGTTCACATTGTTGTATTCCTTGAGTTTGAAATGTATCAGGAGATTCTTCTCTTTTAATACTGTAGTGTTATCATCTGTTTTGAAGAGATACTAAGTTCCTTAGCACATGATACAACAGTCTAGTCATGCATTTCCCTATTATGGGCATCCAGGTTATTATCAGACTATTGTGATTAAGATTATGCTTCAATAAATATCTAGTTCAATAGGTTTCTATGTATTGATGCTTTTATTTTGATATGATCATTTCCTCAAAGGTCATTCTGATAGAATGAATGATATTTACACATAAACGTGTGTGTGTCTGTGTGTGTGTGTGTGTGTGCTGGTTGAGATCCAACTGGAAGCCTTGCATATGTTAAGCATGTGTACAACCACTGTGCTCTACACTCTTCCCTTGTTTATATATTTTAATTGTTATTGTAGAGTTACTTCTTTAAATGCTTTTAACTAATTCTGACTGACCTGAGGCTCACTGAAATTCACTAATAGCTATAACCTCAAGAGACCAACAAATAGTGGGTGTGATTTTTTTTTTTCTGGAGAGAAAAATCTTTTCAACGAGTCAGTAAGAAAATGAATTATTGTTTACAGGATGAAATGAGTTCTACTTCATGGACTCATACTGGGATCATCCAAAACTGTATTTCTCTTTGTATTTATATATTTATGCAACAATGCACATCTCTCTCATATATATATATATATATATATATATATATATATATATATATATATATCTCAATCATTAGGACAAAGTATGAAATGTTCCAGGTTTTGCACCTGTGAAATTATTCTCTCTGAAAAGTTCACACTGTAAGTCAGGAAATTCAAAGACTCTAGAAAATAGGCATAACTCATAATGTTGCTGTGAATGTTGATATGCAAATACCTGTTCAAGTCATTGCTTTTAATGCTTTCAGATCTATCTGCAGGAGTGGAATTCCTGGATCATATGGGAATTACCTGCTTAATTCTTTGAGGAATTGCCATAGTATTTTCCATGGTAGCTGTACCATTTCATATTCCCATCAACTATGCATGAGGGATCCAATTTCTCCGAATACTTGATAACACTTTTTGTTTGGTGGTGCTGGTGTTGGTTGGTTGTTTGATAATAGCCATCCTAGTGGGTGTGAAGTGGTAGTTCATTGTAGTTTTGACCTAAGTATTGGGTTTCTTTTTTAAAAAGAACAAAATGATGGCATTTGCCAGTAAATGGATGGTAATGGAGAATATCATGCTAAGTGAAAAAAATCCAAACTCAGAAATTCAAAGGTCAAGTTATTTATGTCAAATGCAGAAGGTGGAGTAAAATAAAGGAAAGGGGGAGGAAAGGATAGGATAACAAAGAATCAGTCAAATATAAATGAATACATGTTAATGTTTTCAATGTGTTTATTGCAAGCATGTTCTCAGTTTTGTTGTTTGCCTTTGAATTTTGTGTAAAATTTTGAATGCAAAATGTTTGTTTTAGGTGATCAAATCTATTAATCGTTTTATTGGCATCATCTAAGTTTACTTGTATTTCCCTCTCCTTCAAGAGGATAAGTATTAGGTATATTGTTTCTTTTTTCTTTCAATTCTTTAATCTATCTGAAATTAATGCCGGGTAAGATGAGATAACAGTCTAATCCATGTGTGTTCCCCATGGTTACAATCAATGTTTCCAGCATCACTGATCGAGTAGATTTCATTTCCCGGATTCATGACCAAAACTTAAACAGACACTGAGTTCTTCATATACACTCAGATCTGCGGAGTGGACCCTGGGAGGTGCCTTCCAGATTCCCCTCCAGAATGAAGAACTTACCCGCCCAGCTGCTGGAGTGTGGGTGGGAGATAGCCCCAAATCTGGGTGCTGCCTCCCCTTCTTCCAGGGACAGATTGTATCCAAGGAGTGGTCACTACAGGCATACAGGCCCAGCCACTGTACCCCAAAGCAGGACGATTTTGAAGGGCCACGTGACCTTTGGGTTTGCTGAGCTTTTGTTGGGCCCCTACCTCAGGTGACTCCCCTCTGCTCAGTCTTGCATCTTCTCCTCCCCTTCCCTTCCTACCAGGGATGTTTATCCCCAAATCATTCCCTGTAAACATCCTGCATGTTGATCTCTAGAGTCTGTATGTGGACATTTTGTTTCATTAATCTATTGATTTTAGCACCATGTATTTTGAATTTTTTTATAGTTTTCAAATACAAAAAGTTTTTTGAATTCTTGGTTGTTATCATCTGAATCCATAGAGTTATGTTGTTTTGTAGTAGACAAAACCCCATACAAGGACTGGTGTCATACGAAGAGGTAAAGCACTTGCCTAGCACATGTGAGGCAGGACCTGGGTTGGATCCCCAGTACCACATTAAACCACCCGCCCCCACACACACATACAAACCATAACACAAAAATATTTATTTATGAACTCAAACATCTTCTTTCATTTAAAACTGGCATCTTGAGCCAAGCATGGTGGCATAGGCCTGTAATTCCAGCTACTCAGTGGCTCAGGCAGGAAGACCACAAGTTTGAGGCCAGCCAGAACAGTACAGTGAAACCCCATATCAGAAAAACAAAGCAAGGGGCTGGTTCAGTGGCAGAGCACTGCCTAGTATGAGTGAGGCACTGGGTTTGATCATCAGCACCTCATTAAAAAAATAAAATAAAGGTATTGTGTCCATCTACAATTTAAAAATATAATTTTTTTTTAAAGCAAAAGTACAATAAGCCAATCCCAGAAAACCAAAGGCTGAATGTTCCCTATTATATACAGATGCTAACACACAATAAGAGGGGTAAGGGAGGGAAGAATAGAAGTTCATTGCACTTTGTGCTAACACACAAAGGATAATGAAGGGAAGAGAGGGATAATGGGAATAGGAAAGATTGTGGAATGAATTGGACATGACTTTCCAATGTTCATATATAAACACACCACGAGTAAAACTACACATCATGTACAACTACCAGAATGGGGAGTTATACTCCATGTATGTATAATATGTCAAAATACACTCTACTATAGTGTAAATCTAAAAAAAACCCAAAATTATTAATAACAAAGAAACAAAGCAAAACAATAACACACTAGCATCTTCCTTTCCCACCAATCTCAGCTGCAACATAAAATATTTTTGCAATGACAATATATTACAAAGTGAAATTCTTGCAAGAGGCAGTATTTCATAATGTCAACAGAACTGATACTAGAATTGCACTTAAATTCTTAAAAACCAATAACTAAATAGAATATAGTCTAAAACAGCTAAACGTAGTAAGGGGGAAAATCAATAAGATTGACAAGCTAGTAGGCCCTTCTAAAGAAAACTATGGGTTCCCTGCTAAATTCTACCAAAACTTTAAATAGACACTATTCCTTCTCAAACTCTACCAAGAAGTAGAAGAGGAAGGAACAATTCCCAACTTACTTTACAGGACCAATATTACCCTGATACCAAAGCCAAACAAAGACATCACAGGGGAAAACTAAGACTAATACCCTTTATAAGTATTAAATACAGAAATCTTTTTTAAAAAACCTAACAACTGGGCCTGCGATTGTGGCTCAGCGGTACAGTGCTTGCCTAGCATGTGTGAGGCCCTTAGGTTCGATCCTCAGCATCACATAAAAATAAATTAATGTAATAAAGGTATTGTGTTCAACTACAACTAGAAAATAAATATTTAAAAAAACTTAACAACCTAAATTCAGCAGCATATTAAAAATATTATGTATCATTGCCACTGGGATTTATTCAAGAAACGCAAAAATGATTCAACATTTAAAAGTATAGCTGGGCATGGTGGCACGTGTCTATAATTCCAGCAACTCTGGAGTCTGAGACAGGAAGACCATAATTTTGAGGCCAGGGTCAGCAACTTAGTCAGGTCCTCAGCAACTTAGTGAGACCCTGAGACTCAATAAAAAATAAATAGGACTGGGGACAAATCTCAGTGATAAATCATCCCCTGGTTAAATCCCTAGTACATTCCCCCCCCGCCCCCAAATGTTTTATAGGTGATAGTCTGAGACATCATTACCAAACTGGAAACTGGGGAGATGGCCAAGACTGACTCCAGCATCATGCAGGATCACCTTGGTGGTGCTCTTGCAATGAATGAAAGATACATGTCAGACCGTGTCTCATCAGATCATTGTAAGAATCGACACTATTGGTAATCACACTTGTGATTGGGAAAAAAACCACTCCAGACCTTATAACTCAGGCTGGGGTGAAAGAGTTTGAAAACAGAAATGATAGTTGCCATACAAAGGAATTGAAGTTTGCTAGTAGTTTACACTGAAATTTGGAATACCATTTTCCTAAGCTAAAAATGGTTTCCTGCAGCTAACTACTATGTGTTGAAAGGTTTTATATTATAATGCCCATTCTTATCACATACTATGTAGTTAGTTTATAGAGTAATTTCCCCCCAGTTTCTTGAACATAGTGTATCTTTGTGTCTTGGACCTGGTCAGTCAAGCTATTAATTATTAAATACCAAAACTTGGAGAAAATGTCAATTTGTAGTACACCACATTAATAGTGGAAGAAAAATATCATACATGATCATTTGGTGCAGAAAAAGCATTTGGCAAAATCTAATACCTTTCCATAATTAAAAAAGACACAAACAGAGATAAAAGGTAATTTCCTCAAACTTAGGAAGGGCATTTATGAAAAATCTTATATTTATTAAAAGTTTTAGCCACAGAAATTAGGCAAGAAAAATATTTAATATCCAGGTGAGAAAGAAAGAAGAAAAACTATCTACTTGCAGGTGGAAAGATCTTGCATATAGAAAACCCTAATATAGTCATGGCAGTTAACTCCTGTAACTTGGGAGCCTATGGTGGAGGCTGAGAAAGGGGACCACAAGTTGGAGGCCAGCCTGGCCAATGTAGTGAGAG